GTAACAAGGTGTAGAGCTGGATGAACACAGCAGGCCAAGCAGCATCAGGGGAGCAGGAAAGCCGACATTTTGGGTCTGGACCCTTCTTCCCTTGACTGACCTATCCCCATCCTAACTCCCCATCTACACTCACCTTTAATGGCTCCATCCCCGCCTCCCTGACCTGTCCATCTTTTCTCCCACCTATCTGCTCCTCCCACCTCAAACCCCACCCCCACCTCCTACCTACCAGCCTCATCCCCACCTCCTTGACCTGTCCATCTTCCCTTGACTGACCAACCCCCACCCTAACTACTGCTCCTATGATGCTGCTTGGCCTGCTGTGTTCATCCAGCTCTGCACCTTATTGTCTCAGATTTTCCAGCATCTGCAGTTCCTACTATCTCTCATCTACACTCACCTTTACTGGCTCCATCCCCGCCTCCTTGACCAGTCCGTCTCCTCTCCACCTATCTGCTCCTTTATCCATTTTCGATCCGCCTCCCCCTCTCTCTCTATTTAGTTCAGAATCCCCTTCCCCTCCCCTATTTCTGAAGAAGGGTCCAGACCCAAAACGTCAGCTTTCCTGCTCCTCTGATGTTGCTTGGCCTGCTGTGTTCATCCAGCTCTACACCTTGTTATCTCACATTTTTCATATTGATGCTTTGCTGATGGAGCTCTGAATAGGAATTGTTCCTTTACCCTTAACTTTCTGCATGTTTCCTGATATTATTAATTCTTGGTAGGATACAATTCTGCGACAAATGAGCCAAGACAAATAAAAACAAAAAACTTGCAATTATAAATATTCTTAATCAACCTGTTCAAATGTCTATGACAGAACTCTGGAACCCACAACGGTCCATAACACTTGCAATTATACATTTTCTTAATCAGCCTGTTCGGAGATATTATTACATACCTCCGGAGGAGGTGGGACTTAAACCCAGGTCTCCTCATTCAGAGGTAGGGACACTACTACTATCACTAGACCCCTTAGACTTGCAATTAGACTGTGTGCTATGAAGAATGGCAGAACGCTAGCATGGTATATAAATACTGGTATAGATCTGTTGGATGAAGTGATTTGTTCTGTGCTGTCAATTCTCCATAATGTTAAAATTGCTATCAAATGCAGGTTATTGTTTCCATTACAAATCATAGTCTGCATTTTCCTTACATGGATTCAGAATTGGCTTGCCCATAGAAGGCAGACGGTAGTGGTGGAAGGGTGTTTTTCAGGCTGGAGGTCTGTGATTATGGTGTTCCACAGTGATCCAGACTTTGTGGCTTAGTAAGTTTGCAGACTACAAAGATCAGTGGAATTGTGGACAGTGGAAAAGGTTGTAAAAGGATACAGTAGGATATAGATCAGTTACAGATATGGACAGAGAAATGGCAGATGGAGTTTAATCCAGGTAAGTGTGAGGTGCTGCACTTTGGGAGATCAAAAGTTAGGGAAAAGTACACAGTTAATGGCAGGACCCTGAACAGCATTGATGTATAGAGGGATCTTGGGGTTCATGTCCATAGCTCCCTGAACATGGCCACGCAAGGGATAGGGTGTTAAAGAAGGCGTATGGCATGCTTGCCATTATTGGTCGGGGAATTGAGTACAAGAGTCAGGATGTCATGTTGCAGATTTACAAGACTTTGGTTAGGCCATATGTACAGTATTGCATTCAATTCTCATTGCCACATTACAGGAAGGATGTGGAGGCTTTGGAGAGGGTGCAGAAGAGGTTTACCAGGATGCTGCCTGGATTAGAGGGTATGAACTATAAGGAGAGGCTAGATAAACTCAGGTTGTTTTCTCTGGAGTGACAGATGCTGAGGGGAGACTTGATAGAAGTCTGTAAAATTATGAGATGCACAGATAAGGTTGACAGTCAGTATCTTTTTCCCAGAGTTGAAATGTCTAATACTACGGGGCATGCATTTAAGGTGAGAGGGATAAATTCAAAGGAGATGTGAGGGGCAAATCTTTTACATAGAGTTTGGAATGCACTGCCGGGAGTGGTGGTGGAGGTGGATTCTACAGGGGCAATTAAGAAACTTTTAAATAAGCACATGAATATGCAAGGAATGGAGGGATTTGGGCAGGCAAAAAGGATTAGTTAAATTTGGCGTCATGATCGGCACAACATCATGGGCCGCAGGGCCCATTTCTGTGTTATATTATTCTGTGTTCAATGTTCTAATCTGTTATTGAAGAAGCCACAATTCTTTTACAGAAAAGTATGTTAAGTTATGAATATCTTGATATATTTATTGCATTCTGCATACATCCAGTGGAGCCAGGAAAGACTAACTCTTCGGAGTGGTTTGTATATTCAATAACTCCTGACCTGCAATCCAGAAATTCCATGCTGTAAACAAAATCCACTCTGCTTTACCAAAAAAGGTTGGCGAACATAAGTTCAATTAATAGTTTCTAAAAATTTATTCTTCGCTTTGAAAATCTATTAATGGGTTATATATATATATACATATATATGTATATATGCATATAACACATATAAAAGAGCATTTTCTTTGTGAAACAGTACTTTGGAGATATTGTTAATTTGATCTTTTACTTTTCCATTTGTTTTCACTTTTGGCTTAACTTCCAATGGTGCAAACATTTAAGTGGGTATTTTCTTAAGAGCTAAAGCAATGATTGTTATCAAATTATTCAGCTGTGGAAACCATCACAGCAGAATTCAACCTTGCTGTCAACCAATATCCACATGTACATTTTAATGGGAATCATTGCGCAGCAGTCAGGGGGAGAGATCCCAGCTGTTTTTCCTGTCTAGCCCTGAGACACTGGGTTCAATTGTAGTAGTTTCTCCAATTCAGCCCCAGCTAAAATGAGCTAGCTCTGCACAGGACAACTTGACAAACCTTTACTCATTTCATTACAAATTCAAGATACAATGACATAAATCATGTTGACAGACAAATCATATCAATTCCTCACAATGTCACATACTTCTTCTGTTGTTCATCACTCAGACAAATGTAGATGGCTGAACATTTTACTGTCGACATTACCCCTTCAAAATGACAGCACTGTCCAGTTGCAATTGACAGTTTGGTGTCACTTATCAACGAATGTTTGAAAAGTACTTTTTCCATGTTATTTTAAAATTAAAAAATTTAAAATGTGTGCCACATTGTAACATTTTGTGCCTTTGCACCCTAATGTGAAGAGACTCACACTGCAGTGCCACCATGCTGAATAACTGCAACGATGCCAAATCAAGATGTTGTTCTCATCTAAGTGTTCAGTTCTGATTATGAGGTGTAAACTTGTTCAACATTTTGAAGATTATATTAAACATGGTTTTAGTTGCGATGTTCCAGTTCTACGCCTTTAAAGAAGTATTTTCTCAATGTAAATAACCTTCTAATTACCTATTTGCAGGACTGGAATGAAAAAATCTTTACTGTGATTTATTCAGCTTTGGGAATGTTTTTTATTTAAATTGGTGGGACTAGATCTACCAAATCCAAACAATCAACACATTTAAGACCCAGTCACATCCACATAGTTGATTAACAGAAAATGAACATTGTTACAGCGCTGTTTAACAATTAAAAATTAATTAGTAAATGATTTTATCTCAATTGACTTTAGCCTGGGAAATATTTTAGAATTAAATGATTTGAAGAAAATAATTTTCTGGACAGCAAGCAACCATTCAGCAAATCCTGTCTCTCAGTCCCTTAAAACTTATCCTTTTGTACTTTCAATTTTTTGGAGAAATATTTAACTGTAATTCTACTTCCACCTTTATTTCTGAAGGCTTTGCAAGCCCAACCAGTCCTTTGTTTGAAATAATTCCTCCTTTACCAGTTCCTTCAAAATGTTTTTAAATTTATGCCCTCAAATTTCACTGAAATTCATAGAGCAGTGAAAACATTATCATAATTCTTTTTAATCTAGAAACTTCTCCAAAAAAAATTGAACTCCCACAGCTTTAAAATACTAACCAGAGCAAAAGCAACAATCTGCCAAGATACCAGGATAACGTTGGATTTTATACAAGACTTAGTGTAAAACGATTGTTGTTTCCTGCCTAAATCCATCTGGTCTACATTACATAACAAAATATAGCCTCGATCTCTCAGGCACCTGAATTTGAATAGTATAATCTTAGATAACGGCAGCATTGAATCAAATAATGATGACACCAGAGAGCACAGCCTCTGGACTCCTCGCACCGGTCTTCCGCAACAACAGTATTTATAAACATTGCACCCAACAGTTGTATATCAGTCGTTTACTGAGTTTTTTGTCACCTCTCTACCAACCCTGTTCTACCACCTCCGCCACCCCCAGCACCTCACCAAGTTTCTCTTCGTGTACACAGGAGATGAGTGCAAGTAGGCTATTCAGCTATACACACCATCACAAGTTGTCCAGGCATGGGCACTTCGGTCACAATCTTTAGCGAGAACCTCGCCTCTGTTTCTGCTCCCGAGCTGTGATACAGTGGTAAACAGCTATCACTTCCCCTGCCACCCACTATCGAATTAGGAGCACGAATTATATCTGTGATCAACAACAGAGAGAGGGATTCAACCGGGCATTTTCATTTCAAACTGGACCGTTTGTTTCCCAACTTAGTCATCAGGATCACTTGACAACTCTTCATTTTGTCTGAAGTTGTGGCTAAAATCTGAATGCAAATGGTTTGACAGCGTTACTACTAATTGAATTCACAAAGAATAAAAAACAAATATGTTCCTGTGCAAAGTTCAAACTTTGACTGCAACACTAAAACAAATGGAATATTCATTTATTCGTTGCAAAGTGGAGAAGACGAGTTGTTACAACATAAATTAATCCTTTGTTTTCCAGATACCATAAAGAGAAAACTATTTATCAGTTCAATGATCAGACTGTTCCACCATAAAACTGACGCCCCTTCAAGATACAATACCAATGTCTTTTTTTCTCTTCCATTTGTTTACTTCTTTCAATACGAAGAAAGCAGGTTAATGAGACGAACAGCTGTCATTCTTAATACCTTCAGAAACCGGTAACATCATCCGACCAGCAACTGTTAACCCGTATTGCAGGCATGCAGCATTCTTCAGAGACTGCCTCTTTTTGTAGGGATCTCTGCAGTCAGCCTGCATCTGCAGGAACCTCTAATTGTGTAACCACAGCCTCACTTTGTAGGACATGGCAGCCAAAAAGCAGAATGAATATAGCCATTTAATTCATTATGTTGTATAGATTTCAGAAAATCAACATTGGGAAAGGGGAGTTGAGGAAACTTGATCCCCCCTTAACTGCCATCAAGTCCCTCCCTCAGGAAATACCTGTCTGGAGGAGGTTGTGGGGGATGGGGGTGCAGTGTGTTGTGGGGTTAGGGTAGGAAGTGAGTCAGACAGAATGAGTATTGTCAGTAAAAGCTAGTGTGTCAGGGCTGTGTGACAGGCTGCTATTTCCTACAGGCTATTCTGAAAATTGTTTGGCAAGCAGGCTTTCAGTCCCCAGCAAGAAGAACCATCTCCGCCACTCTTCAGTGAAATCAGTCCAGTTTTCCCTCCAGCTACAGGTGTGACTAAGGCTGCGGGTAGAGCCAAACTTCCTAAAATAAATAAAAACAAACACAGAATGTTTTTCATTTTCTACCTTTTAGATACTGTATTCCTTGATGGGTCGATCTTATCAGATGAGCTATTTAGTCTCCTTCTGGTACAAACAGAGTTTGGAAGCTGATGTCATGTCAAGCAATTTTTAACACATTCATGGTTAAAATAAAAAGTTTCCAAACAACCACAAGAAGTTAACAACAGTAATACAAACGCCTTTCTTTTTTGTCTTCTTTGCACCACTCCCATCCTGAAGGCAGCAGATCAAACTGGGATTCCCCTCCACCAGCAATGCTCCAATGCCTTTATCAAAGAACCATCAATCCCAATATGTCTAAACAGAAACTACCAACAGTAGTGAGGGAGTCACAATTTGGCCCAATTTTCCCCTTTCCATCGGCACTTACATTGCACCAGGATCCTTTATTATTAAACAAGAATGAGCGCTGTGGCTAATTTCTCAATTTCCTCTGAGATGCCTCAACCAAATGCAACACTCAACTATTGTTCTGTTTGAGATTGACTTATAAGGTACTGAGAAGAAATTAAATCCGGGACCAGTTTAGTTTAAATAATTTAATCACGCACATCTAGATTTTGACCAGTTTGGAGATATATACTCAGTTTCAGGATAACTTAGAGAAGAAAAAGTAACTAGCATTGATATTTCATCTTCATGATCTCTGACTGTTTTAAAGTACCTCTCATGTCTAATTAGGTAGTTTCAAATTGTTATCCCTAATAGTAGATAACACAATAGTCAAATTACATATGCCATCAGTTCCCAAAAATATTAATAATGCAAATGACATTTTTTATTGTGATGTACATTGACAAAAAATGAATGATTGAGTATTTGAACAGCAGCATCTTTATCATCGCTGCAGTGGGAGATAAGAGTGATATGAGAAGGAGATACCAAGACAGCAAAACCTGGCCTAAGAGATGCCACAACTGCTGCGTAAATTCCAGCATACTTTACCACAATAAATCACCACTCATGAAAACCTCCTAAACCTGTGCACAATTCCCTTCCCCCCATCTTCCAAGGCAAAGCTCATTACTGCCACTGGAGGCTGGACTGTGACTTCTGAAAACTAAAACAATCAGTGGCAGAAATTGTGATTCTAAAAGAAGGAAAGACTTGCAAATACATAATTCACAATCTCAGGATATTCCAAACTGCTTAACCGCCATGAAGTACTTTTAAATTGTAGTCACTGTTGTAGCATAGGAAACTGACAGCCAATTCATACAGCAAGTTCTCACAAATTGTGATAATGACCAGATAAATGTATTTTTGCGATGTTGATTGAGGGCTGAATATAACCAGGACATCTGCTTGTTATCAAAGTAGTGCTAGGGATTCTTTAATACCACTTCATTGGATGAACAGGGCCTCAGTTTGATGTGTCATCCAAAAGGTGGCACCTCCTACAACACAGCACTCCTTCAGTATTGCACTGGAAGCAAAATTGATTTTGGGGTGCTCAGATCCTGAAGTGGAACTTGATCATAAAATCTTTGGACTTCAAAATGAGAATGCTACCACTGAGCAATGATTGGCCCTGAAATTGGACTCACTAGGGATGCCAGGAGGTAAGTGATATGCTGTGATCCAACACTTGTCTGACTTCAATTTTTAGGAATTATACAGGCAATTTCATAGTCTTCCTCAGGAGCAGTACAATTGTGAAATTACAGCATCATAAATCTAGAAGATTAGGCTCATCATCCAGTGAACTTGAGTTTAACTCCTACCACAGCGAATTGGAAAATATTTGGGAACAAAAAGAAAAACTAGTATCAGTAAAAATGCCCTTGCGGCCATAGGATTATTCCAAACTCATTTCCAAAGAAGTGGACTCAAAATATTAACTCTGTTTCTTTCTCCCCAGATGCTGCTAGACCTGCTGAGTTTCTTCAACACTTTCTGTTTCTGTTACAGTTGGACTGTTGTGTTATGTGCCTCAGAAATATACAGAGATGACATTGCTGTTTCTAGATCTGATCAGCAGCTTTATTTTTGAAAACTTTTCAAATATCTGTGCAGCCATAAGCTTATTGATTGCTTTTGATTTTCTTTGTAACCGCAGGCAGGATTGATTATTTGTACACACCACTGAAAGCAGTCAAAATACATAAATAATCAAATACCAAACAATTGAATACTAAATTATTTCCCCTTTGTAAAATGAAAACGTGTTATTTTAAATTCAACCATCCTAAAACAAATAATATATACATCAAGTCATTTCAGCATGTCCATTTTCCCAAAGTACTAAAATAGTCTGGAGGATTTGACACTATTAAGATTCATGAATCTGTGACTGTGCAGCTTGACCGGCACTGTGAAATCGGAACTGTCCTGCACAGTTCCTGACAATTGCCTCAGGCACAAGAGACAGGAGAAAATCAGTGACCATGCTGTAGGATTCTATGACTGTATGATCTGCTGTGTGGGGAGGGACATTAGTGGTCCTATTGGACAGGCGATACATAGATGGGACTTCCTCTTTCCACAAGACCATCAGTGGAGACCATGATACCAGATGATGCCAGCCTGATGTGAGGTAGCCACCCTGGTTAAAGCACTCTCATGCCTTCTGAAGGAATGCACAGCACTGTCAGAAGTAGGTCAATGACTATATGCACTCCACCAGCATAAGTGCCACCATCTTCTCTCCGATACCTGACACTCACTCTGTCTCTGCTACTGTACTCTCCATCCAACAAGGTTCAAGCTCTACAACTCTCACTATTACGTGCACTATCTTCCCTTGCTTTTCATCATCCACCTCAATCCCCGACAGCACTAATCTCACATTCCCTCTGTCCCGAGCCTACACATTCACTTGGGACACCTCCCCATCTGCACCAAAAGTAACAGTTGTGACACACATGTTCATCTCCCTTAATACACAAGCAATGAAATTAAAGATCACAGCAGCCAATGCAATGTTAGTAATGAATACCAAATGGAGCAAGCTAATGAGCTGGTAATGGCACAAGATAACCCAGACAGATCATGGGCGAAGCTTGGAATAGACCTCTTTACTCTTGTGCCATCTCTTCACCATCAGTATTATTATGACAACTGAGAGTTAAGCCAACTGACATTGGTGACTACTAGTGAGAATAAAAGCACATCAGTCAGTACAGTATTCCAGATTTTGTGTTGAGTGACAGTGACCCTCAAATCATGAGTGTAGGATTCAGCTACTTCAAATATGATTGGGAAATTCAATATCATATGCCATGTCTGCACTAACTGCAGTCAAATAAAAAGGCTGAGGTGGCAGTGAACATCACCAAAGGGATGATAAAGATATCAAATAAATCCAGCACAGACTTGTACAAAGCAATCCTTGATTGCAGAAATAAACCAACTAAATGCTTGGAAAGTTGCCTGGTTCAAAGAATAATGTTACACCACATCCAACTATTCTTCCAATAGCAAAAAGCTACTCAAATTTCTTGACAGGCTTGAGCAACAAAATAAAGGTAAAACAATAGCAGCCAATTTTCAGTTAGTTAAAACTGCTAAGTCATTGTCAGAGCTAAGCATCGGAAAGCCAGTCAGAGTGCAAATGTTCAACATTCTCAACAAATGTCAGCCCAAGAGGCAACTTGGGACCTGTGATAAATAGTTTCCACCTCAGTTGTATGCACTGGGGTGGCATGGTGGCTCAGTGGTTAGGACTGCTGCTTCACACCACCAGGGACCTGGATTTGATTCCAGCCTCAGGTGACTGTCTGTGTGGAGTTTGCACATTCTCCCCGTGTTTGCATGGGTTTCCACCGGGTGCTCCGGTTTCCTCCCACAGTCCAAATATATGCAGGGTAGGTGGATTGGCCATGATAAATTGTCCGTCGTGTTCAGGGATGTGTAGATAAGGTGGGTTATATGGCTGGGTCTGGGTGGGATGCTCTGAGGGTTGATGTGGATTTGTTGGGCTGAAGGGCCTGTTTCCACACTGTAGGGATTCTATGCACGTGAGTGACCAGTTATATTGTCACAACTGCAGGCATCTATGTACAAGTAGAGAAGCTGTTTCTTCACTACAGGCAGCTGATCAGGAAGATGTGATCTTATTACTGACACAGAATAAAGAGCAACAGCCTGAAGAGTAAATATCACCTTAGGGATGAGCAGGTACCAGATGAATAGTGAATATAAATGTGCATGATATGCATACATATAGAAGACGTTTAAAGACTGTACATACAGTGCATGTGCAGATGCTGATGAAAGTGAAACTGACTAGCGTTAACACATTATTCCATTAATGAATGACGACTTTCTTGCAGCAATGGTAACCTTCACAATTAGAGGATATTTTTGAGAATATTTGGCCATGGTGGGCTGTCTTACATATGTGGTGGTATAGATATAATTTGATTATTGCAATATTCTTTGGTCTGAAATATTTTTGAGACCAATTGCTGTTGCATCAAGTGTAAATGTGCATTCTATGATCTACCTTCTGCCTTTTATTCAAAGATAACATCCAAGTATTCTTTCATTCAGGTCGCTGCGACATTTAAAACATTCACCCCTATAATGAACATATAGGCTTTGAATGCTGACGTCCCTTGATACCATAGTATGGAGGAACCTCTCGATGAAGAAGGGAAAA